CAGCAGGTCGTTATCTCCTGAGGGGTCCCAGACTGCGAGAGGGCACAGGCCGGGCTGAGGGACCCCCCCTCTCCCCCCCAGTGCACAAATTTTTGTGCACCGGGCCTCTAGTCATATATATAAGCCTAAAATGCAAAGTGTCCCTGCTGGAGTTGGACTGACGGGGAGTTCTATCACTCGCTATGATGTGCGCTGACCACCAGGGGGCGGCACGGAATGAAGAAAGGCCCCAGCTAGCAGCCGCTAGGGACCCTACCCGTACACGAATTTCATGCACTGGGCCTCTAGTTACATCATAGAAACCAGTTGTACATGCCCTGTACCCTTTCTAGTAAATAGTCCATTGTTTTCCTAAATAGATTTTATAGTCACTCTTATAGTCACTCTGCTGCTAGGCATGCCTCTGGATTTGTTGCTATCTAATGCTAACTGGATTCTAATTAAAATGTTCGTTGGGAGTCAACAGTGGGTAGGCCTATGAAAAAAAGGCTACTTATAATAATTAGAGACAGATTCTAGGTAGCTGGTACCATGCCTTTTGCCAATTTTTTAATTGAGTTGTTTTCTTATTGAGTCTTAGGAGTCCTTTGCATATTTTGGATAACAGGTTCTTTATCAGATATAAGTACTGCAAAGATTTTCTTTTTCAGTTTGTGACTTGTCTTCACTTTTTTTATTTTTATTGATTTTAGAGAGGAAGGGGGAGAGATAGAAACATCAGTGATTAGAGAGAATCATTAATCAGTTGCGTTATGCAAGCCCCACACTGGGGATCGAGCCCACAACCCCAGCATGTGACCAGACCCGGAATTGAACCATGACCTCCTGGTTCATAGGTCAACGCTCAACGACTGAGCCATGCTGCCCAAGCCTTTTCACTTTCTTGATAGTGTCTTTAAAGCACAAAAGGTTTAAATTTTTATGAACTCTGGCCAGCAACTCCAGTACAATGTTGAATGTAAGTGGCAAGAACAGATAGATATTGTAATGTTCTTCCTAATTTGAGTGGGAAAGCATCTAGTCTTTCACTGTTAATTATGATGGTAGCTGTGGGTCAGTGCAAGTATTTGAGGTGGAAATGGACCGAAAAGGTTATGCTTGCATTTTGTAGGAACAAGAGAAGAGTGTGTCACTGAATAAAAAATAATGTGCCTTTTAGATATTTCTGTTAATGTAGGCTTGCTGTCAGTGATTTTGCTTGTTTTATTGTATTTTTATTACTTACATTTGAGTACTTATGTTCTTATTATATGTGCTAGTGCTTTTTATGCGTTATGTCATATACTGTTCACAAGAGCTCTATGAAGGTACTGTTATCTCCATTTGACAGAGTTCAGGAGATGGAGTCAAGTCTGAATCCACAGTCAAGGATGTTAAATACTGTTATGATAATCTCTTCCTTGTTGCCTATTTTGGTTTTTTTTGGGGGGGGGGGTTGTTTTTTGTTGTCTGTGGTGTCTTTTTTGCATTGTATCAGATTTTGAAAGCAAAATAGAAAAGCATCTGTCTGTCATCTATCATTCCTAAGTGGTGATTTTCTTTACTCTGAGGCTTTAGGAATGTTTATTTATTGAAAAGCCTGATAAGACCCATTATTTAGTCCTCACTTGTTGGAACCATCATATGATAAGTCTTTAAAGTCCTTTTAGATCCAATGGCTTGAAGTTATCATTTTATTAAGGCACAAAACACCAACATTTTGGTGAATTTATAAAGTTTTTTAATATGGAACATTTCACAAATTTGTGTGTCATCCTTGTGCAGGGGACCATGCTGATCTTTGTATTGTTCCAATTTTAGTATATGTGCTGCCAAAGCGAGCACTGTACATTTTTTTTTTAATGAAATAGCTAGTGGTGACAGTTAAAACAAATGTAGCCAACTTATTTTCCCAGCCCAAGTTTATGAAAATAAGTATTGTGATATCATATAACACTATTCATATTTAAAGTTTAAGCAATTGTAAAATCTTGGTTTCCTCCCTCCCCCATTCTCTTAGGCGTTTGTAAAATGTATGAAGAACATCTGAAGAGAATGAATCCCAACAGCCCCTCTATCACATATGATATCAGCCAGTTGTTTGATTTTATTGATGATCTGGCGGACCTCAGCTGTCTTGTGTAAGTATTTACCACCATGTATCTTAAGTTGTATTTTTCTGTTGTTTATTCATCGGATTTTTCTATTGTTTATTCATCTATTTAAGGTGGTTTATGGTGTTGGGAGCTCACTCTGTGCCTGACACTGATCTTTGCTTTTTGACTGCTAGGTAGTAACTAATATTTCCTCTACATATGGCTCATAAGTTATGTTGGCAACATAAAGACAGGAAAATGTAAGAACTTTGCTAATTTGATACAGTTAGTATGCAGAGAGGATGCTAACTAAGAAGTTCAAAGTTGTGATTCTTTGTTCCTTAAACTAAACAATCTTTTTTCTTAGTTTTTTCCCCCCTTGTGGTCTTTGTCCTTAAAACAAAGGCTTTGGATTAAAACTAAGGTTATTTTGTCTTCATAGCACTATTTTTAAAATGTAATTATATGCAAGACTGAAATGGAATTTAATTTTAATCCTACCCAGTGTTAACCATGTATATTTTGGTATGTTAGAGTGAGATTTTTTAGACCCACATTTTCTATTCTCAGATTTTTCTCATGCCAGACACTGTGCTAGAAGTAACTGGTTTTTGGTGGTGAAAAATGTGTAGGCCCTAATTCTAAAATAAAAAGCTTGGAAAGCTATAAGAGGCCAACAAAGCTGCAGGTATGCTAACGAGAAAAGAGGAATTGTAGGCAGCCAACAAGGAGAGCCGAGAACTGATGACATGATCTAGAGTGAGAAATTGATGTCTTTAGTTAGGATCATGGACAGTTCAGTAACAGTAAAGTAGGGAGTGCATGCAGATGTAGAAGTTGGAGAAAATTGTTTTCGTTTTCCCAGGAAAATAGGAAGCATGGACACCATTTAGAGTTGAGGGAGAGGGAGAAGGTAGTGAAGGTTTATGGAAGGTAGGAAATAATCCAGGAGGGTGAAGGGGTTAGGGAAATGTGTGACTTATGAGATATCTGAAAATACATTTAAAATGAAATAAATCATTGTGATAATGGGTTTTTTCCTAGTCTTTTTTTAAAAAAAAATTTATATTGACTTTAGGGAGAGAGAGGGAAACATCAATTTATTGTTCCACTTATTCATTCATTGATTGGTATGTGCCTTGACAGGGGATCAAACCCAAAACCTTGGCATTTCGGGATGACGCTCTAACCAACTGAGCACACCTGGCTAAAGCCTAGTCACTTTTAACCTGATGGTTACAGGTAGATAATTAGTAAATACATTGTTAAAAGTTTAGGGTATATGCAAGTGAGTATTGTGCAGGGGACTGAATGACCATGAAATAAATGTAAGTGGGGTTTGGGGTGGGGTGGAGACAGAAATAGGATCAATTAATTATAGGTCACAGTGGGGTCAAAGGGTTGTTGAATGAGATGCTTGAAATTGGGTTATTGATGTTGATAGTAATAAGGTAAAGTAAAACCTCTTCAACATCTACCATCTGGAACAATTTGGTTCTCAACCAAGTTGTTCACAAGACAGAAAAAATGTAAAAATGTCTCCTTTGGGGTTGACAACCCTTTCAAGCTGATACATCAGCATGACAAAAAGCATCTCTCAGGACATTGTGTTGTGAATATTTTCATGATTTTTTTTTGCTTTTGTTGCTGGCAAAATGGACGATTAGCACAATTTTAAAACATAAGGAGGCCATTAAGAGTGCTGATGTCGCTAAGGGTGTGAAAGTGCTCTGAAACAACTATCACAGACAATTGAATAAGTAGATAAATTGTTAATTCGATAAATCAACCTGTGATAGCATTTAGAAGGAAAAAGCGAAGATGCTGCATATTGACTTCTTGTAAGACAACCCTACATTGAGTACTAAAAGTGATTCATTTAAGGCTAGTAGGGGGTGGGGTTCAATAAATTTAAGAAAAGTGTTCGTTTATAGATTACAAGCAGTACATGTGACATGTACTATATATAAGAAAGGTTAAAATGGAATTATTTGGAGGTCTTACATTATTTCTAATGGGGGAAAATGATTCTGTTTTCAAACAAATCCTTTCTTGAACAGCCTTCTGGAATGAATTAAGTTGGAGAACCCAGGTTCAACTGTAAAGGGATCTGGTCAAAGAAAGGGAAGGGACAGGATCATTGGAGGAGAAAAGTTCAAGGAACTGAGAGGCCCAGATGTTGGCATTTCATCTACTGAATATGAAATCACCGATACCATATATTTACTTTCTAGAATTTAATGTGAGAACAGGGAGTAGGATGCTGAATTACTTAAATTTAAGGTTCATGCTTTAGTCACCATGAGAGGTTTTGGTTAAGCTGGAGTTTCAGAATTAGCCATAGCTGTGCTTGAATGCTGGCTCTGTCTTTGGCTGGTTACCTGGGGCAAGTTAGTTTAATATTGCTAATCCTCAATTTGCTAATTTGGAAAATTTAGATAAATTTACCTCACAGGACTACCTGTGAGGATCCAGTGCTTGCTTAGCACAACAGTATTGGCTAAATAACAGGAACTCCATTTTTAATCCTCACCCGAGGATATTTTTCTATTGATTTTTAAAGAGAGGAAAAGATAGAAATATCTATGTGAGAGAAACACATAGATTGTTGAACAGGGAGTAGGATGCTGAATTACTTAAATTTAAGGCTCATGCTTTAGTCACCATGAGAGGTTTTGGTTAAGAGCTAGCTGGAGTTTCAGAATTAGCCATAGCTGTGCTTGAATGCTGGCTCTGTCTTTGGCTGGTTACCTGGGGCAAGTTAGTTTAATATTGCTAATCCTCAATTTGCTAATTTGGAAAATTTAGATAAATTTACCTCACAGGACTACCTGTGAGGATCCAGTGCTTGCTTAGCACAACAGTATTGGCTAAATAACAGGAACTCCATTTTTAATCCTCACCCGAGGATATTTTTCTATTGATTTTTAAAGAGAGGAAAAGATAGAAATATCTATGTGAGAGAAACACATAGATTGTTTTGCCTCCTGCACGCACCCTGACCAGGGCCCAGGCCAGAGAGGAACCTGCAACTGAGGTACATGCCCTTGTTGATTTCAGAGAGGAAGGGAGAGGGAGAGACAGAAACATCAATGATGAGAGAGAATCATGGATCGGCTGCCTCCTACACGCCCCTTAGTGGGGATCAAGCCGCAACCCGGGCATATGCCCTTCACTAGAATCGAACCCAGGACCCTTCAGTCCGCAGGCCAATGCTCAACCAGCTAGGGCTAGGGCAGGTTTTTAAATTACAAATTGATTTATTATTTAAAATTTGCCACAAATAGGATGATAATTTTGAAATGCCACAGTTGAGTTAAATTGTACTGTTAACTAATAAAAAGGTGTTGGGGTTTTTTGACAGTGAAAATTACACAAAGTAAAAATGGTTTTAAGAGATATACTGCAGCCCTAGCAGGTGTTCTCAGTGGTTGTAGCATCAGCCCACAGACGGAAGGGTCTCAGGCTCAATTCCTGGCCAAGGGCATGTACCTGGGTAGTGCTGGTTTGATCCCCTTGGTTGGGGTGTATGCAAGAGGCAGCCAATTGGTGTGTCTCTCTCACATCACTGTTTCTCTTTCCCACTTGCCCCTCCCTCCCTTCCACTTTCTCTAAAACTCAGTGAGGAGAAATCCTCGGATGCGGATTAATAACAAATAGACACAGTGCAAGTATGTCATTATGACAATTAGTACATCCTGCCCCTCCCCTTTTTCTGGGATTCTGACTTGGGCTGTTTACTCCATAGGCCAGGATTTGAGTTCAATTTTGGTTTGTTGTTTTTTTGTTTTGTTTTTTAATATTTTTTTGATTTTTATAGAAAGGAAGGGAGGGGGGGAGACGTCAACGTGAAAAACATGGATTGGCTGCCTCCTGCCCACCCCCTACTGGGGATAGAGCCTGAAACCTAGGCATGAGCCCTGACAGGGAATCATACATACTTTCAACCTTTCAGTGCACAGGAGGACACCCAACCAACTGAGCCACAACAGCCAGGGCAAGCCCAATTTTGGTTTGTAAATTGCTTTGTACTCATTAAGTTTATTTGGCAATGCCAGGACTTTTTATAAGATGAAAGTAACAGCTTTTTAAATATGTAGGCTGTTTTTGTTTAAAGACAAAAGGGACATTTTTATTCTTAGTTATTGTAATGAGGAGGTACTCATCAGGAAGACAACCTGAAAGCAGTGAAGACATTGGCTGATTTCAACTCTCAGCCCCTAGCTTCTATTCTATAAACCTGCAGTCTGAGCATAACACTAGGCTAAATGATTCATCTATGCCAACAACTTGGGATTTTATAAATGTACTTAACATTTAATTGTCTCATTTTCAAGCACCAGTTAGCAGCCATCAACACACAGCTTTCCATAAAGAAAGCGTTATTACTTTTTCTTGAGTTGAAAATAGTGTGCAAGTTGATGAATTCCTAAATGTTCACTACCAAAGTGATCTTGTTGGGGTGAGGGTGTAGTCTAAATAAATAAGGCTGTTCCACCCAGATATTAGAGTTCTGAAAATTCCTATTCCTTTTTTAGTTCTTTTCCAATGTTAATATAAATATTTTAGTCTATTCTGCCATACCATGAAGTAGACTAGATTAGTACTTATTAGGAAGGGGGGCGGGGTTTATTCAGCCCGGCCAGCAGGACTCAGTGGTTGAGCATCAACCTATGAATCAGGAGGTCACGGCACATTTTTAGAGAGAGGAAGGGTCAGGGCACATGCCCAGATTGCAGGCTCTATTTCCAGTGTGGGGCTTGCAGGAGGCAGCGGATCAATGATTTTATCATTGATGCTCTCCCCTTCCTCTCTAAAATCAATAAAAATAAATATTTTTTTAAAAAGAATATTCAAATAAAATTGTTTTACTTTTTAGAATTTTCTCATTGTAACATACGGACATTAATAAAAAGCCAAGTGTTTATTTTTATTTGGTTAAGCATTTTGTAAAAGAAAGCTTGTTCATTTTTAATAAACCACTCAAGGGAAGACTATGACAATTCCTTTTGAGTTTCTCTAGCCAAAAACTGAAGCGCAGTGGTACCAGTGAGGACTCTACTCTCACAGGGTTGTAAAAAGGATTGAATTTAATTTTTTGCTGACCTGACCAAAAAAAAAGGTATAATTTTGATTCATTCAAAAGGGATGGCTATTGGTGTGTTGGCTGTTATTTTTTTATTTGACAACTAGTGGCCTGGTGCAGGAAATTCATGCACATTAAAAGGGAATTAATTAGAGCAGCGGTTCTCAACCTGTGGGTCGAGACCCCTTTGGCAGTCGAACGACCCTTTCACAGGGGTCGCCTAAGACCATCCTGCATATCAGATATTTACATTACGATTCATAACAGTAGCAACATTACAGTTATGAAGTAGCAACGAAAATAATTTTATGGTTGGGTCACAACATGAGGAACTGTATTTTTTTTTAAATATATTTTATTGATTTTTTACAGAGAAGAAGGGAGAGAGATAGTTAGAAACATCGATGAGAGAGAAACATCGATCAGCCGCCTCCTGCACATCTCCCACTGGGGATGTGTCCACAACCAAGGTACATGCCCTTGACCGGAATCGAACCTGGAACCTTTCAGTCCGCAGGCCGACGCTCTATCCACTGAGCCAAACCGGTTTCGGCGAGGAACTGTATTTAAAGGGCCAGAAGGTTGAGGACCACTGAATTAGAGGAAATATTTTAATATTGCTATTTGCCTTTTCTCTATAAGTGTCAGAGATGAAAGAAAATTAGTAAAATGTATATGAAAACCTTCCTCCTGTCAGAGTCTGGGGCGCGCTGCAGGACCCAGAGTCAAGTCCCCACCCAACTGCGCATGCCTCGAAATAGCGGGAGACCCAGACCTGGCTGGCCCCACCCCCATTGGGAAAGATCCAGACCCGTCAAGTCCCACTGGGCGGGAGGCGCAGCCTCAGGTCCCCCATCAAGCCCCACTGGGTTGGGGGTGCAGCCTCAGGTCTGCTGTCAAGCCCCGCTGGGCAGGGGCGCATCCGCAGGTCTCCAGGCACACCCTGAGGTCCCCCAGCCCAGCACTGGGATGGGGTGCCCGTCTTGAGGTCCCCCGTCAAGCCCCGCTGGGCAGGGGGCGCAGCCTCAGGTCCCCTGCCGGAGCCCAGCACCATGCAGCCTCAGGTCCCTGCTGATTGCTCGTTAAGGCTCCTTATGGGAACTTGGCCTCCACTGTGAGCTCAGCCATCTTGTGTTACGGAATCCCTGCCTCCGCTGTGGGTGCAGCCATCTTGACCATTATGATGAGGTCCCCCGTCAAGCCCCGCTGGGCAGGGGGCGCAGCCTCAGGTCCCCTGCCGGAGCCCAGCACCATGCAGCCTCAGGTCCCTGCTGATTGCTCGTTAAGGCTCCTTATGGGAACTTGGCCTCCACTGTGAGCTCAGCCATCTTGTGTTACGGAATCCCTGCCTCCGCTGTGGGTGCAGCCATCTTGACCGTTATGGTGTGACAGTCAATTTGCATATTCCCGTTTTATTAGATAAGATATAAGGGAAAAGAGGCCAATCAGGTATTGCATGTTCTAAAAATTGTTGGGGCATACAGTTGAAAATCGCTGTCCTAGGGTGTCCCCCCCCCCCCTTTTTTTTTTAGGCAAACTGCACCTTTGCATCTCTTAGATGCCATGCAGTGTTTCTACCAGATGATACACATAGCTTAAAAATTCAACGTGTAATCAGCTCTTTTACATTTTTTAAAAATATATTATTGATTTCAGAGAGGAAGGGAGAGGGAAAGAGAAAGAAACATCAATGAGAGAGAATCATTGATTGGCTGCCTCCCTCATGCCCCCTACTGGGAATCGAGCCCGTAACCCAGGCGTGTGCCCTTGACTGGAATCGAACCTGAGACCTTTCAGTCCACAGGCTGATGCTCTATCCACTGAGCCACACCAGTGCCCTTTCACATTTTCATTAAGTTCATGTATGACCAAGTGTGTATCTGTGCCAGCATTGGGTAGTTATAATTTGAAGTTTAAAAAAAAACCCACAAAAACACATGACAATAATTGTTTATTACTTTTCTGTTCCTCAGTTACCGAGCTGATACCCAGACATACCAGCCTTATAACAAAGATTGGATTAAAGAGAAGATCTACGTACTCCTTCGTCGACAGGCCCAACAGGCCGGGAAATAGTTGTGTTGGAAGTTGGGGGTTGTTGGGGGTGGGCTTGGAACACAGGTGTGTACAGCTGTCTGTAGTGAAGTTTTGTATTATAGTAATCCTGTTTCCATTTTGGTACACTCTAGCCAGGATTGAATGTGTTAGATGATATGTGAGGATCTTGTTCAATCTGAACTCCCATCACCCCCCTTTTTTCTCTTTTTTTACTTAAACATTGTTATGATGACTTAACTAAGAAGTTTTTCTTTGTCAGTTAATGTTGATTCCAATCCTTCATATCTGCTTTATAACATTCACTGTACTAACCCTTCTTCAAGTTGGGGTGGGGGTAGTGACAGTTTAATTATGTGCTAAGATAAAGTCTTAGTGAAAAACAAATAAATGTTCTTTAGTTATATTTTTCCCCTGGTTGCTTTTTATTTTATTTATTTTTTATTTTTCTACATTTTTTGGTCTCTAAACATGAACATTGAATTTTCTTGCAAAGCATTAGTGTCAAAACCAATAGACTGCTACAGAATTTGAAGTTGAACTTTGATGTGATTTATGTAACACTAACAAGCTTTTTCTGGCCTTGTGAGTCTCATTTGTAGATTCAAGGTTTGCACTTACTGTGGATGCAAACATTATGAAAGACTTTCTGGTGACATGGCTTATCTGTAGCAGCAGGCCGGTTAGTTCCTTAGCTTTGGTTATGTACTCTCAGTGGGAAGTCCTTGTGCCCTTCTCACAGCCTTCAGCATTGGAATGGCACTCTTGTATGGCAGTGTAAGGGTAAGGGAAAGACCACAGAAAAATACAAGATGATCTTGCTTTTAATGTAGAATGTGGTCAGATTTGACTTGAACATACAGTATATTGTACCTCCAGTCATCAAGTATGTGGACATGTCCTGATTCTGCTATTATGACTGATAGCCAATAATATCTTTATGCACTATGAGTTTGGCAGGGTTTTTGGAGGCTTCATGAGTGCCCCTATACTCTCCTTGTCCCCAAATCCATTTCTACATTAGGGCCAAATTCTAAGTTAGTATTTATATGTGCTCACTTTTTCTACAGAGTAATTGTTCTATCAATGTCATCACTGTATCAAAGGATTATTAAAATTAGGGTGCCTTACCAAAATTATAGCGGTAGTTATTTCATGTGAACCAGCCAATATTTTTAAATATATGTGTTTTTAATTAATTTCAGAGAGGAAGGGAGAGGGAGAGAGACAGAAACATCAATGATGAGAGAGAATCATTGATCATCTGCCTCCTGCATACCTCACACTGGGGTTCAAGCTCACAACCCAGGCATGTGTTCTAACTGGGAATCAAACTGTGGCCTCCTAGTTCATGGGTTGACACTGAACCACACCAGCTGGGCGGAACCAGCGAAATTTTAAAGCTAAGATATTTTCACAGGAAAAAAAAAATCCAAAAGTAAATCAGATTGTCCTACTTCTCACTTGGCCTATCCTATTAATATAGTTTTATTTCTCTAACAGTAGAAATAAAACTATATTAATAGGATAGGCCAAGTGAGTTTTTTAGTTTTAGTTTTTTTTCAAAAACATTCTGAGCACATCTGGAAAGAATGGAATCCCTTGATTTTTAGATACAATACAATTTCTGTATTGGACTTAACAGAGGAAAATATATGGGTCCTAGATATTGGGTGATGAGAGCAAAAAGGAGGGATGCATTATTTTGAGTCATACTTTATAAGGCTTAAGGTAGAATAGGATTGGAATAAATATGGAGAAATACAAATTTAACTCTAGAATTACACAGAAGAGGAGAAGTAGCTTTTTCATTGTGAAGGTAAAGTCTGATGAAACTTAGTGGTCTGGCCAAGCTACAACCACTGTTCTTATGTCAGGGAGTCGGAGTATTGATTGTGTGGCCTTTCCCCAACCACAGGTAAAACAGGTTTGATTTCTGTTTATAAAGTGATATTTTATACTGCTACATAAAGGTGAAACCTACCAGACAAATTAAAAAGTTCCTGGTTCTCTATTTCACCTGGTTTTACATACCTGGAAATTTCTATAATATTTACTGGCAGTACTATTAGCATTTGATCTAAGAGGTTTCTGGAGTATAAAAGAGAAATTTTAACTATCTCACTTCACTTGCAGTTCTGTGGCTTAAAATATTTCAGCAATTCACTAAATGCCTTAGGCACTGTTTGGATAAGCTATATATCTTACTCCTGTGTTTGGGTGGAAATGGTGGTGAACTGTTTACTGTCACCAAGGGATGAGCAGACAATTTTTTGTTGTCCTAAAAGCAGACCAGACTTTGGGTTGGAGGAAAAAGAGCAGGGCAGTTGTTAGTATGACACCAGCTTCATATGAGTGTGGCACATCCTTTATTATAGGTGGAGAATGTCCGGCCTGTGGGCCATGTAAGGCCCTCAAAATAATTTGGTCTGGCCCTACCAGGGCATTAAGGGTGGGTTAATTAAATGTTTGACCAAATATAGCAGGCTAACTTTTAAGTTGATAACTTTGTGTAGCTCTCAAATGATGTTATAAATATCCAAATGGCTCTTGGTAGAAAAAAGGTTCCTCATCCCTGCTTATCAGATTGCTAATTTTTGAAGATTGGAATGAAAATTGGGATTAATATATGAACTGTTTAAAAATAAATATTACTATATTTGTAGAGGTACTTTAGAAGAAGAAATATTAATTTATATATTAGCATAATGATAATGGCATTACCACTTAGGCATGGCATTTACTAGTTAGGAAACATTTTTACATATTTAATCATCACAGCAACCCTTTGAGGTAGGAAAAATTATTCCTCTATTAATGGTGAAAAAATAGGTTCAGATTCTTCAAGTTGTTCACCCAGATTATACAGCAATACCAGAAAAACTTTACTAAATGAAAAAGACATGATCTTAACCTCAAAGATCTTGAGCGTTGGGAGCCTCACAAAATGAATAGTTGTGAGGTAAGTGATGGATCTCTGATGCCTATCAAAGGAAACTTTAGACTCATTTGGATTCAAAAATACATGAATAGGTCACATTTGTCACCTATTTACTCAAAAGTAAACACAGGAGACAGCTCACCAACCCAGCATCATCATTAAAAGTTTCTCTTCCATGGGAGTGAGTAGTCTTCATGGCAGTTTACACAGCCATCCAAGAATTATTCTCTGGACACACCACAAATGATAGCTCAAGTGCAAGAAATAAGACCGGTAAGTTTAAGAGTTAGCTTGGCTTAGAAACCTCTTATAAAACAGGTACCACAATCTACACTAATAAAAGAGAAACATGGTAATTAGCGTACGACCACTACCCTTCCCATTGGCTAATCAGCATATCCTTATGCAAATTAACTGTCAGCCAAGATGGCGGCCGGCAGCCATGCACTGAAGCGAACAGGGAGGCTTGCTTGCTCCAGTGACGGCGGACTCCAACGTTCCCCGCCTGACTTGCCGGCCTCTCAGCTGCAACTCTAAGCAACTATGTTGCAAATATAGAAGCTAAACAAAACCCCAGAAACCGGCTTTCAGTCAGCCGGGCTTCAGCCAGCCGGACCGCAACA